ATCCACAACAAAAAATAACGACGAGATCAACAAAATCCTAACACTCAAGTTATTATTATATCTATGTATACAAGAACAAATTTTTATACGATCACGAGAATTGAATGTTTTAAATGTTTCGTTTTATCGTGAAAGAAACGTAATAAAAATCCTTGTATCCTTTTATAATATTATATCATATACATTATTATCACCAGTATGACCGATACCAGAAAATTATCAAATAGTATAAAATATTTTACGACATAATATAAGCGTTATGCGTGTAACCTATATATTGRTACTAATAAAAATATTTTTCAATTCGCGATTTTTGATCTTTACTAGGTACCAATATTATTTCTGAACTAAAAAAAAATCACAAACGATATTGCTTGAATACGCCACAATAATTGATAAAACATTCATTACGACGACGAATCCTATATACAAGAGAATAGATCGCTGTAGGTAATAGAAAAAAAATTTTGTTTAAATACAAGAAAATTAACTAATTTACATTATTTACGGCGATCGCACCAAAATATAGTAACGTAAGAATGATTGAAGCCTTTACAATGGAGAGTGCACAACAATCAGAAAATATTGTGTTCACTTTGRATTTCAGTTGAAATATTTTTTATTAGACATATATTTTAACTGGGCCATCTTTTATCAGACAAATATTTCAGCTGACMGTATTTTTGATGACTTATTCAAAATAACGTTTTTCTAAAATACAATTAGAACAATATATTTGTCAGTTCAATTACCTTCAGCATTATTTTCAGACTTTTTATAATCTCTCTGATCTTCGTACCAACTGTTGAATCAAAAAAGAAGAATAACAGTAGCTCTAATGTCTCAATAACACCAAAAACAATTAGATAAGTATAGATAGATAGATAGTAATGACATTTAAAGAAGAAACCCCGGTAATGAGTAGCGTAGCGGAAAAATGAATCTACCAAGACTTGAGCAGCCAAAAGAACTATTGAAAAGTTTTTTAAATAGAATTATTRGCGATTTTAAATATTCCCTTAAAAACGTCGAACATTGCTATATTCCTGTTATCAGATTAATTATTTTGGAGCTAACTACATAATAACCCGTTCCGCTTGAGGCATCTAATTGGGTAGCGCTGGTATTGCAAGATCCTTGATGAGCTGGTAGTGGTTAGATTGTAGTTTTTAATGAAAGTATTTGTTGTATAGGCCATAGGGACAGATCAGATTTAGTGATTATATGACAGGAGATATTCTGGAAGGCTTGGATATTTCTCTTATTTAATGTTTTAGCAGAGCCCCATATTACTACTCCGCACACCCAGAGTAGTTGTAGAAGAATTTCATATAGTATAAGTTATTAAGTTTAAGGGGTAAAGTTAGGTTTGAGTGGATAAGTGGTTTTAGTAGGTGAAGTTTTGAGTTGAGCTTTTTGCGTTTGTTCTTGAGATTACATGACTATGTTAGAAGTCTGTCGAATATCAATCAAAGATTAGTTATGGGACCGAAATATGACAAAGGAAGATTTTAATTCGTTGATTTTAACTTACCGTTTTGTGAACCATTCAGAAAGAGTAGCTATGTGTAATAATTGTAGTTGAAGGCTTGCAGTGATATGATCTGCAGGTGTTGATAGAAGTGCAGTATGATCTGCATAATTTAAATTGTTAAAGATAAGGGTAGTTGAGATTCTGACAATGACTCAGCTCAACTTGCAAGTTGTGGAATGGTTCACGCGAAAACCACATTGGAAGTTGGATAAGTTTTTGTTTTCTTTAATTATGAGAGAAAGGTGTTTTAGTAATATTTTTTTCTTGGATTTGGATTTTATCTAGAACTAGTAKAAGACTTATGGRTGAGTTTGAGGATGGGTTATCGGGTAGTTTACCTACAGGTTTAAGTATATATATTATATATTATATGAATAAGATGTATCATTGTTTTAGTCGGTAGGTTTTTGATTACTCTGTGGGTTATAAGATCGCTGCCGAGAGATTTCCTATTGGCCAATTTTTTTTATTATCTCCTTGATTTCAGCTGYTATTAAGACTATAGGTAATGAAGAAAATAATAACTCTGTGACCATTTTAAGATGCAGTGGTGGTGGTGAGATTGAGTGGTATGAATAGTGTTGATAATTCTTTCGTTAGTGTATCTGCTCTTTTACTTTCGGTAACTACTGAAGTGTTATTTAATTATTTTATCGTTGAAGTAGCGACGTAATTTCTTTTAATTAATTTTGTTTTGCACCAAAGTGAGCCATTTTTAAATGAAATATTATGTAGATAATTTTTTAGGAGTCGTTTTTGTGTATTTTTAGAATAAATTTAAATTTGAAAGCATGTCGTGCCTTGACCACGTACCCAAATGGGTASCAACCGTTTTTAAACAAAACTTCCATCATAAATCCAAAATCCTTGTTGAAGCATTTCTTCAGGTTGGACCTTACTAGCCCAATTATAAATTCAGACCAATCATGGAACTTTCCCAAATACATACAAAATATTTCATCAAAATCGGTTCAGCTGTTTAGGAAGAGTTCATATAGGAACACGCTTACAGAAAAATATTGCAAATATAAATAATAATATGTACTAGTATGTACATGTAAAGGTGTACTATGTAATGGGTGACTGACTACATTATTT